GAGAGCACAGGGGTCAGTGTGTTCCATCAAAACCATATTTGGGCCGGCGCCACAGCTCGCTAGGCTAATCCTCCGCCTGCGGCGCCGGCACACCGGGTTCCAGTCCCAGTTGGGGCACCGGATTCTGTCCCGGTTGCCCCTCTTCCAGTCCAGCTCTCTGCTATGGCCCGGGAGTGCAGTGGAGGATGGCCCAAGTGCTTGGGCCCTGCACCCCATGGGAGACCAGGAGAAGCACCTGGCTCCTGCCTTCGGATCAGCACGGTGCGCTGGCCGCAGCACGCCGGCTGTGGCAGCCATTGGAGGGTAAACCAACGGCAAAAAGGAAGACTTTTCTCTCTGTCTCTCTCTCTTACTGTCCACTCTGCCTGTCAAAAAATAAAAATTAAAAAATAAAAATTAAAAAAAAAAGTATTTGTCCGCCTCCACCAGAAGTTCCATAGGACAGAAAATAGGAGTGAATCTGTCCATTGACAGTAGCATCAGGCAGAAAGATTGACAAATGAGAACATCTCCCACTCCCTAGATAAATGGGGGGAAGGAGAAAAGGGAGGAGGTGGAGGGAGTCAGTTATTTGATAAAATTATATAAAAGGATGGTTGTTTCTATAGCAAGGAATAGATCTTGACAGGTCTGACACAGATTTACAGAAGGAATTACTAATGAATAACGTATTAGTCTAAGTATGTCCATTGCAATTGTTGAGATATAGATAGATGGGCAGATGGGTATATAGAGAGAGATAGGCAGAAGGATGACAGATACATAGATCTAGTGATCCTTAGAAAAGCATTTCTTGGCTGGCGCTGCAGCTCACTTGTCTAATCCTCCGCCTGCGGCGCTGGCACCCCAGGTTCTAGTCCAGGTTGGGGCGCCAGATTCTGTCCTGGTTGCTCCTCTTCCAGTCCAGCTCTCTGCTGTGGCCAGGGAGTGCAGTGGAGGATGGCCCAAGTGCTTGGGCCTTGCACCTGCATGGGAGACCAGGAGGAAGCACAAGGCTCTTGGCTTCGGATCCGCACAGTGTGCTGGCTGTCACAGCCATTTAGGGGGTGAACCAACGGAAGGAAGACCTTTCTCTCTGTCCCTCTCTCTCTCACTGTCTAACTCTGCCTCTGCCTATCAAAAAAAAAATTGCTTTCCCCACCTTCCAATTCCCAAAAAAAAGCATTTCTTGGGCTGGTGTTGTGGCACAGCAGGTTAAGCCATGGCTTGCAGCATCCCATATCAGAGCAGTTTGAGTCTTGGCTGCTCTGCTTCTGATCCAGCTCCCACGCCTGGGGAGTCATCAGATGATAGCCCGAGTACTTGGGCTCCTGCCACCCACATGGGAGATCTGAATGGAGACTTAGGAGTTCCCCAAATCAGATCTGAAGAGCTGGGAGTTGGGGTGAGATGGAGAATGTTCTGGATTCTAACATAGTGATAAGACGCTTCCCAGCTTCAATGTCTCGGTGTTACTCTCCCAGCTAGGCAGCACCTCTGAACCCTGGGCATTGACTCCCCTTTCCCTCTGAAGTCTGCCCACTGTGGCCCCAACAAGATTCAATTTCATTTTTTTAAAGATTTACTTATTTATTTGAGAGGCAGAGTTACAGATGGAGAGAGGTCTTCTATCTGCTGGTTTACTCCCCAAATGGCTGCAACGTCTGGAGCTGGGCCGATCTGAAGTCAGGAGCCAGGAGCTTCTTCCAGGTTTCCCATGTGAGTGCAGGGCCCTAAGCACTTAGGTCATCCTCTACTGCTTTCCCAAGCCATCAGCAGAGAGCTGGATTGGAAGTGGAGTAGCCGGGATTTGAACCGGCAATCAAATGAGATGCTAGTGTGCTGGTGGAGGCTTAACCCACTATGCCACAGCAACAACCCCAAGATTCGTTTTCAAAAGTAAGAGGTACTTTCTTAGCACCTCAACAGTCATGAAAGGCTCTACAGCTACCGCTGTGGAAAAGACAGGTGTTCCTTTCGTAATCTACGTTTTATGCCAAATGTCTCTCCGGCGCCTCCTCCTCCCATGCTGGCCATCTCCTGTCAGCTGTCCAGATCTGGCCCAGGGCTCATGAGCCCTCCTGCTTCACCCCCTCTGCTCTTCTTGTTGCTTGCTCCTCACTCCATTTATCCACATAGAAAAGGTGAGATGAGGGCGAATTCCCGGCTGGGGCTCTGAAAAGCATCTCCAGCTGTGACAAGCCCCTAAGACCCCAGCTGGAAGCCTGCTTTAGGCTGTGAGGGGCAGAGCAGGCTGCTAGCTGGTATCCTTGCTAAGGCGGCAGGGAAAGGGCTCTCACCAGATGGGGAAATCTGACTCAAAACAAGGTGAAACAACTGCATTTCCTTTTTGTTTTTATTTATTTATTTTTAATTTGTTGAGAGCCCCTGGAGAAAGACTTAGGGGATGGGACTAATGTGTTCAGACCAAAATGCTGAATCCCAGTGATTTTCCTGGATTAAATCGGGCTCCAGGAAGACGGCAATTTTCTCATTGCTGCGGCATCTCAGAAACACTAAAATAGTCAAAGTTTATTGAATAGCTGTTTTGGAGCAAGACTAGGGGGAGTGGAGAGAGACAAAGATGAAAAAGACATAATCCATGTTCTCTAGGAGCTTACAGGCTAATGAGAGGACCAGTCATGTAAATATGCACAGTGGACTTGGTGTCTATTACATAATACAGTCTAAGGGTGGTCCCCATGGGTCCCCAAGCCCCTCTTGGGTATGTAGAAGGCCAAAACTATTTTCATAATCATATTAACACATTATTTGACTTTTCCAGAGGCTACAATATACATGATCATGCATCACTCTGACTGCTAGTGGAGTGTATGATTCTGTACTCTCGAGTTTAAAAACATCCTGTCTTCCTTTCTAGTGTATCAATATCAATATTAAAATCAAAAGGTACACACTCAGGCTTTTTGAGGTTCTCAGTCATTTTGAAGGTTGTAAAGAGGTCCTGAGACCAAAACGTTTGAGTACCACTAAGACTTCGCATATCATCCTCTGTTACACATCTAATCCCAGGAAAATCACTTTTTCGGATGATTTTACCCTGCCTTATTTTCTAGCATGATAGCTATTTTGTGTCTTTGGATTTAAGGATGCCTTTTGAGGCTGTGCGACATTGGACTTGGCTTGTTAAGCAACTCAACTGTCGGCAATCATTGTTGTTTGTTTCATGGTCTACTTCCCTGCAGTCTATCTGACTCATTGTTATTTAAGCTTTCTTTAGATTTATGTTTTCTGTAGTGGGTTTTAAAGTTCTTTATTTATTTTTGTCAGACAATAAACTTCACTAGTCTGTCCATCTTTCCATCATTATAGCCTCATAATATTTTAAAGCAATATTTCATTGCTTCCTATAATTTTACTGCTAATCGTACAGCATTATGAAAATAAACCTTACACTTTCTCCCCTCAAGGGATGAAAATAGAGTCTAGTCTGTAATGAATCTTGGTAGCAGAAAGTCCTTTGTAAAATTATGCAAATACGCTCTGCAGTTCTGATGGTATGAAATCCAATTTGCACTTGGATTTTATCTTTTTCTATTTTTGTCCTCCATGAACCTTGAGCTCTATCTGCCCCTTGCCTGTTCTCAAATCTCCATTGTTTTCTGGAAGTGAACTTCACAGCTGTGGGCCTTTGTTGACAAAATGTTTCAGCTCCTCTGGGTCTTAAATTACTTTCTCTTTCTCTGAAGTGAACACTCACTAAATGTTTCCAAATACTGTATGTGGGATCCTAACTCCCTTTCTCTTAACCTTGTATAAATTCCAGTACCAGTCGGCACACCCAACCCTGAGCCTCCTTCAAAAAACTGATACTTATTATCATATTTAGATTTCTTCCCTCCAACCCCACTGGTTACTTGCGGAAGTCAGGATTTGCTTTGGGATGGCATAGTTTTCATGATTTGGTTGGTTGGCTTTACAGTGAAAAGCTTAACAATGGTTAAACCCTCTTCTTGCTATGGTTGATTTCTTGCTGTGGTTAGTCATGCCAAGGTGGGTATTTCTATATTTCCATGATAACAAATTCTAAATTGCTAGGAACTCCTTCACCCTGGCTCTTTTATTGTACTGAATCTATTTTTAGCTGAGATGTGGGCGCCCCGGGCTAGTTTCACTTCAACAGCGAAATTTCTTTTTCTTCCCTGCCAGGTCTCCTCTTCCTCGCATCCTCTCCATGTTTCTTATTCCTCTATAGCATTTACAAGACCCAGTTTAGTAGCTTAGTAGCTTAGTGCCTTTTTTTTTTTTTTTTTTTTTTTTTTTTTTGGCACTCATTATTTCTTCTTTATTCTCTGTGAAAGTAATAAGTGTACGTTTCGTTGCACTTGCCTGAGAGTCTTGAACTGATCTTGGGTTTCCCGCCATCTGCGTTCTGGCTGCCTTGCAATTTCCCTTTGATGTTGTAATAGTTTTTCATTGAACTTGAGTTTGGGGCTTACAGGGCTTGTTTGCTTTTATTTTTTTCCGAAATGCGCACATTTTTTTCTTGAGCTTATTTTGCTGTTTTGTGCTGTTATTTTTAATTGCTTCCGACCGGGGGGTGGGGCCGAGAGTGAGATTTGGCTTGGATTTGGTTCTCTTCGCTGTTACTCACATTTCCCCCAGAAGCCCCACACACACTCCTCTCTCTCTCTCTCTGCCTTTGACGAACTATTTTTGAAAGGCCATTGATCCCTAGCGTAAATGGTGTTAAGAGGAAGATGGGCTCCGGGTAGGGATTCTCAGGAATCCAGTCCTGCACACTCATGAGCTTGGCCATCTGGAAGTCTCCTCTTGCTCAATGAAATGGAGTAAACATTGTCCATTATGAAATCCACCACGCAGGCTGCCAGGGACGAATGGGATCCCACCCAAAGCCAATCGCTGCTCTGACAGGGAAATTGGCTAGCACTGCCTGAGACTACTCCAGCCTCCCCCGTCCCTGATGTCACAATTCAGAGGCTGCTGCTTGCCTAGGAGGTTGTAGAAAGCTCTGTAGGTTCTCTCTGTGTGTCCTACAGGGTTCTTCGGGCCAGGTCCCCGTCTGATGGCTTTTATGAAAAAATACCTCCTCCCCCTTCTGGGGCTCTTCTTGGCCTACTACTACTATTCTGCAAATGAGGAGTTCAGACCAGGTAAGCACCAATGTGTCTCATTTTGGAGGACTAGGTTAGAAAGCACTGAGGTGCTGGAGTGCTCCTGGAGATCAAGGTATGTTCTTGGTCCCTAAATTTGCTGAAAAACAAAAGGGACTGTGAGGTGGGCTGTATCTGTGTGTCCTCCAGCCACAGGCTGTGGTCCGGAGGGATGTGGGGAGGGGCAATCATGCAGCCACAAGCTGGCTAAATAAGCCATGCTGGATTTGGCACTGTTCATGGAAAGCAATTTCAAATCTTCTACCCAAAACTGAGGGTAATACCCAAATTTACAACTCAGCCAGATCATCAGGCTCAACGGAGAGCCTGAAAAGTGGGAGGCAGCAGTGGACTCTGGAGTTGATGACCAAGTAGAAGCCAGGGGAAATTCCTGGCATCCCTAAGATTCTCATTACTTACTAATCAATGGAGCAAAATCAAATGAGCCCAGAAATATCTGGAACACTCCGTTTCAGCTGAACCATGACCTTGCTGGCTTGGTCCCGTCATCTCCGTGTGTGGAAGTTTGCAGGAATGACAGCAGTGAGCCTTGGTTTTGGGCAACCAGGCCAGACCTCCTCTTCCGAGCATGTTTATCAAAGACTCAGACTGTTTTTTGGTGATTTACGCAGTGTGAGACAGACTGATCTGGACTTGTCCCCGTTGGTGCTGGAAGTGGAGATAGGGCTGTCTGTTGCAGGGAAGGAGAAGGAATGTTGCTGTCACGCTGGCTCTGGTCCTTACTTCCTCTTGGGGTTCCCCAGAGATGCTCCAGGGAAAGAAAGTGATTGTCACAGGGGCCAGCAAAGGAATCGGAAAAGAGATCGCTTTTCATCTGGCGAAGATGGGAGCCCATGTGGTGGTGACAGCGAGATCAAAAGAAACTCTGCAGGAGGTGAGGGTTCTGTGCCTACAAATACATGTTACCCTCATATGCCCAGACGTGTTCTGTACACACTCACCTACGCACACACACAGAAGCTAGCAATTCCACATGCAGATGCACAATTAACTGTGTACTCTCATTGCAGTTTTCAACACCCAAACTTCCACAAGAATACAAAAACTATACTTATAAGCATTCACATGTATATAAATGCTATTTGGCCATAGAGTTTTTGAGCTGCATGAATTTGCTCATAGAAAAGTCTATTCATGCCCACTTTATACATGGAACCACGGATATATTCAGATATGAAAATTTCAGCACCTTCTCATGAACATGTATTCTCATACCCACGCAGACTCTCAGGTACATGCCTGCTCACAAACTCACAATCACAAAGATGTACAGGCACTTAGAAACCTAGAACTACCCACGCGGAAGCCAGCACTCGTACCCACAATGCATTCAGGAGCATGTCTTCTCAGAACCCCGTGAGTATAATCATGGACTTGGCTCTCAGTGCAGTGATGGTGTATGCATTTACACCCCTCTTATCCCAGACAAGAGTTGACAGTCACGATTATTGTATCTAGAATTGCGTGCACACACAGACACACACATGTATACACACCTCATTTCTTATTGAAACGAGACTATAAGCAACCTTTCCTCTAAGGCCTCATTACTTCAGAGACTGTCCCTCAAAAGTCTACACCCAAGAATGACACCGTTTCTGCTATGTCCCTGCAGGTGGTGGCCCACTGCCTGAAGCTGGGAGCAGCCTCCGCACACTACATTGCTGGCACCATGGAGGACATGACCTTTGCGGAGCAATTCGTTGCCAAAGCAGGAAAGCTCATGGGTGAGGCTGCTTCCCCCTCCTTGTCCTCTGGACTTTGCCTTCCAGGTCACGAGCGCTTTGAGGAGGGGAAAATGGAAGGTATTGAGCCCAGATGGTTTTGTCTCAACACAGCCATCTCTTGCAGGGGGACTAGACATGCTCATTCTCAACCACATCACCAACGCTTCTTTGATGTTTTTTAATAACGATATTCACCACGTGCGCAAGAGCATGGAGGTCAACTTCCTGAGTTACGTGGTCCTGAGCGTGGCCGCCTTGCCCATGCTGAAGCAGAGCAATGGAAGCATTGTGGTCGTGTCCTCGCTAGCTGGTGAGTGGGACAGGACCAGTGTGGAAAGTAGGGGGTAGGGGGAGAAGCCAGCGATGGTGCTAAGCTCTGTCGGGAACATGAATTTTTATCAGTTTCCAGGCAGAAAAGTAGCACGAAACAAACACAAAGTTGAAATGCTCATAGTGATGTTAAGCTACAGCTGATTAACAGCTTGCCCAGAGCTGTGGATAGGCAGGTACACTAATAAGATACTAGGGTATGTAAGCTCAGTGGGGAGGGCCCATGTGCTCAGTAAAAGAGACACTGTTAAGAACCATAAAAATGAGGAATTAACTGAGGAAGATGGGTAAGAAAATTCCTGAAAGTAATAACATTAGTTCAGAGTGCCCACCGGAAGCCTGGTGGTTTGTGATCTACAGATGGGAAATCAAAGGAACATCAAGAGGCAGTTGGAGGAATGGCCTGTCCTGATCCTAAGGGAGAGACTTGGAAACAATGGATAAAAAAGATTCTGGTTGTTCTATGACCAAGAGCCATAAGTTGGTGACGTTGGTTGATGCAAAGGTAGAAGTGAGATGTGATAAACTTTAATAACCTACAGGTATCTGGTACATGGGCTAAGGTAGGGCAAAATCAACAATAACAAGAATAGATTAACAGACTTGCCAATACTAGGGGTGTTCTACCAAAAGGCCAACTTAAATAACCAGCCGGAAAGTGAGAAAACGTGCATAATAGAGAAACGTTCATGATCTCTGTGGGTCCCCCAGGCTTTGAATGGCAGCAAGTTGAGACGCTATCGCGTGTTTCCAGCTTAGAGGACCCCTATGCCTTTTTCCTCACAGATGCAGGCGAGAGGTTCCACACACCCTGTCCCTTAGAAGGATGTAGCTGGAAGTTCCCAACAACAGGGTCAGAATCGGGCAATGTAAACAGAAACCACCTAGAAAACTCAGCAAAGTGTTAAGTCCCTCACAAATGCTAGTTCTCATTTAAACTAGCAACACTATCTATGTTGTAAAGAGCTCTCCTTTCCAGCCCAGGGAAGGCCTGTGTAGCGATTGGATAAAGGGGCAGTGTCTGTGCTACCCGCCAAACGGAGTGATTGATATGCATCCCTGTGCTTCCCAGACAACACAGCCTCCCCGCCCCTCCCCAGACAGAAGGAAGGGAGTGCTTCCAGATGCATACTGAGTGCGAGGGTGCTGGGCCCATCCCCAGTCCATCGCAGGGCACTGGCCAAAGCCCTCCTATCAGTCACGGTGTAGGTGACTTTAACAAGTTAGTTGACTCCATTCCACATTCAATCTAGGCAAAGGATGTCTTTCACCTTTGGTGGGCAAATTTAGCTTTCTATGATGCACTCAAAATATAAATGTACTAGGAAGGGAAAAAAAATTCTTAGAAGCCCCAAGGTATGCTGAAATTGCGATGACCTCTGTTTCCACATATTTCCACACCTATAGAACGACACTTAATCACTTCCACATGTGGGACTGGAAGGTGGGACTGTAGTTGGATCTCTAGTGTCTACTATCTGTATTGCCAACGAGTTAAACCTTTTTGCTTTGAAGCATGCTTGTAGACTTGCAGAGTACAGGCACACTGCCTTCTCTCCCTAACTAAAGAATATTCTCTGTACTAGGATATTCTCTTTTAAGCAGTCAGTAAACACATCCATTATTTCTTGCTCCTTAATATCTGAGTTCCACAAACATAGGATGTAAACATCAAATTGGTCCTAGGGCCAGTCAAAGAGTACTAAAATGGCGTTTTTTGTTTGTTTGTTTGTTTTTTTCCCAGAGCAAGTGTTTATTTAATGGGTACAAATTTCAAAAGTACAACTTTAGGAATATAGTGATTCTTCCCATCATACTAGAATGGCGTTTTAATTATTTGGGAACACATTAAGTTGTTTATTGAGTCACAGTGACAAGCACTTGTTTTTGTACCCAGTGGAGTTGAAGGTATGGCATTCCATGGAAATCTTGTACCTTTTATATGTTAAAGGCTTAGCTACTTCTTTAGCATTAACATGGACAGTAGGGTTGCTTCTGGAACGCTCTTTGAAGTTCGCAATCATCCACCATGCAACACCTTTTTGGGCACCTACTGATCAAGTTTCTTATACATGTAATATCCAGTTACACTGATTAGCCTCCTTTCCCCCCACCACATACTGGTTTGGATAAAAGTTTAGCTGGCTCACTAGGCTAATCCTCCGCCTTGCGGCGCCGGCACACCGGGTTCTAGTCCCAGTCGGGGCGCCGGATTCTGTCCCGGTTGCCCCTCTTCCAGGCCAGCTCTCTGCTGTGGCCCGGGAGTGCAGTGGAGGATGGCCCAAGTCCTTGGGCCCTGCACCCCATGGGAGACCAGGATAAGTACCTGGCTCCTGCCATCAGATCAGCGCGCTGCGCCGGCCGCAGTGCACCGGCCACGGCGGCCATTGGAGGGTGAACCAATGGCAAAAGGAAGACCTTTCTCTCTGTCTCTCTCTCTCACTGTCCACTCTGCCTATCAAAAAAAAAAAAAAAAAAAAAAGAGAAAGAAAGAAAGAGCCAAATTTGCAATGGCTTACACAAATCTAGATTTCTTCCTCTCTTGTGAACTGGCCTGGGGTAGACAGTCCTGGGTCCCCACAGGCTGTCCAGGTATCCTCCCATCTCAGAAGCCCTGTCTTCATCTGCACGTGCCCAGTGGCTCACTCTTGTCTGTGAATTCTAGCTGGAGAAAATGAGGAAAGAATGCAACCTGAGGTTTGTCTGCTTCTCTTCTGCCACTGCTGGTGGCAAGAGTAAATTATATTCAAAGTAGACATGTGTCCACCTGAAACCCAGGAGTCCTATTCATATAAAAGACATTGATACAGGTAAACAATGAGTGATCTCTCCCACATTACCCTTGCCAAGAAACATGTAAGACTGGAGGAGGCATGCGCTCCAGGACACCCATGTGTACCCCCCCAACACATGCACACCCCAAACCCACTCTCTCTCTCTCACATTCAAGGTCATCGTGAAAACTAATCCCATTCCATTCTGTGGGTACAGGAGACCATGGGGTAGAAAATAGGAGGGAAAGAGAATGTCTAGTTGGTATTTGTGAAGCAAATTGAAACAGAGACATTAATACTTGAATTTGACAAAAAAAAAAAAAAGTAAAATAAATAAAAACACTGGATTGGGCAGAGAACATTTGAAAACATCCGGAAAAAGTTTGTCTGCCATTAGTCAAAATGGGTCATCTTAGGTTCAATTCTAGAAAAGTAAAGATGCTTCCCCTGGCAAGCCCCTTGGCTTTGCAGACCCCCCCACCCCCACCCAGCTGTGGCGTGTCCCATCAGTTACATGCTTGACGGCCAGAGCAGAGCCCACGGTCCTCTTCTCCACCGCTGCCCCGGGCCCCTGGGAGGAACCTGGGACAAGTCCTCTCCTCACCCTGGTCCTTCCTCCTCTCAAGATCTAAGCTTTTCAGGACCGCCACCTCCTCCCTCCTGAGCCAGGTCAGTGCCTCTGCTCTGCCTTTACCCACTACCTTACAAGGTTCTTCCAGAAGTTCTCATTCCTCCCTGCATCTTTCTTTGGTTTCACTGGTGATTCCAACGCTACAAATACCAGCAATAACACAAATGCTAAACACACTAGAGAAACCTAAGTGAGGAGATAATAATTCTTCTGTTTTAAGGACAGTGAAAGGCATGATTTAAGGTGGAATCAGACATAGTAAAAGTCTGGGTTTCTTTCTCCAAAACGAAAGCGCAGCAAAAGGAATAGGGCACCTTGCCAATAACCTCTGCATCCTTGGGCCTCTCTCTGGGAGCTCCCTAAGTATCTCCAGTTACCCTATTCACTGTTCTCCAAGGAAATCTTCAAAAGATCAACTTTCAACATAGCTTTTTCTGTCTTATTCAAACGGATTCTTTTTCTGGTTTACTCATTTGCAGCATCATCTCATACCGCTTTTTAAAACAGAAATATGCAGAGTTCCGGGCATACTATGTTGACTTAGCCAGGGGCCAGTATCTCATAAGACAGTGCTTTTGTGGGAAAACTCAAACCAACAAATGAAGTCACTTTGTTGGGAGTGAAACTATTTGTCATTTGAGGGCTGCCTGTGTGGTCTAAACCTGTTTCAAGAATTCAACATTACCAAAAGGGGGAAGGAAAAAGCAGGTTTTTCAACTAAGCGTATCCACAATGTTTTGTTGTAGAAGGAATACACAGCTGTTGGCCTCATCTCTGCTCTCAGCTCTGGCATACCCACTCCTTCCCGAGAGGAGGGCCAAGTCCTCAATGTAAGGGTATGCTGTGAGGTATAGCGCAGTGATGTGTTCTAGGATGAGAAGGAGCCCCAGAATCGGTGTGAAAAGGGGCAATTCGTCCTTCAAGCCATTCATTCTAAGTGTTCTAAGAGGCGTCTTGAACCCTTAATTACATCAGAAATAGATTTCAGGTTTCCTTTTATGCAAGAGGATTTATTCATGAGAATACAGGAAGTCTCCAAAAAGCTCATGAGAATATGTATTAGGAAAAAGCTATGCATGGATCTCTCAATTGCTTTGGTACCAAAATTAATCTACCTTTTAATTTCATTTTTCATGAACTTTCGGCAGTTCCCTCACATAAGGGATAGAGGGTAGGAATGGCCGCAGGGTTGGATGGATCCTGGGGGAAGGGCAGAAGTGTGCAGGGGTGAGGGAGGTGTGCAGGAATCACCTTTAGGACCTGGAAGAGCGCCAAAAAGGAACTCAGAGTAAGAATCAACAACAAAGCAATAAAAATTCAAGGAGCCAGAGTGGCCTAAATTTGAGAGACTGTGTTTGGGAAAAATCTGAAGAAAGAATTGAGGAAGAAACTGCTGAATTTATCTAGTTCAATGCTGTATGTACCCTAAAAGAAGGGTCAGGAGATCTTGGAAAAGGGAAGGGGGGGGCGGTGGGGATAGAGACAATTTAATGCAGGGTGAGAACAATGTAGTACTATCCATGACAGTTACTGCTCCACATGCTCCTGTTGAGAGCAGTCAAGGCTACCAGGCCC